AGATTTGGTCGTTAAATAATTACAGATAGTTTTGTAATGGTACTTAAGTACATGTATTATCACTGAGAATCACACCTTGTATTAATGTTATAAATTAGTGTTAAAAATGTGCATTCGTTCGTGCTCTAGAATGTTGTATTATCTATTCACATTCCATAGCATTAGCACTAAAATCTTAGTTGTAAACTTCCACTGTGTTGCGAGACCCTTAATATATAATTATCTTTGTTGCTAAATACGCAATCTTGGCGTTTTATGTTCACAGAATCTAAGAAGAAATTTGGTATTTATACCCGTAGATGCACTAAATGTTCACAAAACACTTAACCGTGGGAGAGACACGCAACATTGTTGCACGAATGGGCAGGTCCGTCCGGGTTAGTACCACGACCTCACAGAAGACTGGCGTTAGAGAAAGTATTACAATTCTGCGTTACGTCTGCTGAGTGAGGTAGCCGGGGCCCATATTATTTAAAGGTGGCAACGCATTTGCAACCCTACGGGTGTGGCAAATGTACATGGACGGCGCTTATCACTTAACGTCAGTTGAATCGCCAGATCGTTTGCCACTTTCTCACATAAAAAAAAACTTTATTCAGTTGACGTCAGTCAGGCAGCCGGTCTTAAAAAACCTAGCCAATACCATTAAAAAAAACAAGACAACTATTTATAAATAAGTAATTAATTTTAGTGTATAAACATTAATTTTGGCATTATTCATTACTCAATATTTATTCAAAATGACATTTCATTTGAATTCATAAAATACTACATTGACTAAAGTTTAGATTTCAATCCTAGAGAAAGGTCCTTACAAATGTTTTCGACAATGTTTAACAAATTTAAAATTCGCGAGATAAGTTTTGAATGGTGTACAGTATGATTTTAGTTTTGATTATAAAATCAAGAATATAAATTCTTGCTTGTAATAAGAATAATCCTACTTAATGGGTCCGTTGTCTTACTACTAGAGATTTGAAATTTAGATTTGAAGTGTGCTATAAAAACCTGAATAATGAGTTGATATAAAAGACATTATAATTTTTATGTCTACAAATGTGTTCTTCAGACTTACTTTCTTTCTAAACGTTACTAAAGACAGTTTCACATAAATACCTTAACATACTGTTTCTGCAGTAAAAACTTAAGTGTGTTGGTTTTTATCCAAAATAAAATCTTGTTTCTACATTACACTAAAACTAATGTTATCAGCCCAACCAATGAGTCAGGAGATTCGCCTGTCGTTCTAAACTATAACTGACTACAGGAAGTACCTTACGCGACTTCTCAGTACCAGTTCAGTTTATACTTTATTGAAAGGTAAAAGATACCAATTTCATAAATAGTCAGTTATGAAATTGGCATCCATTGGTAACAATGAAAATTCGCGTAGGTCGCTCCGTAGCAAGCGAGACTGTCCATCCACATCCTTGCCTGGTTCACCACTATTATACCTAAATTTACTGTTGACACACCTACAACCACTCCTAAGCTCAGGCACACCCGGGTGCTGGACCGGCACTAATTATAAAACGGAATTTAATCGCTCTATTTCGCATAGCGCCCTTTCTTTCATAGAAAATCGCCGAAATCATCGTACTTCCGAAGCCTGGGATGGATCATAGCCGTGAAGAGGCTGTAAGGAGTGCATCATGTGGCAGGCCACATGATGCACTTCTTTTTTTTTACTTGGTACCAAGAACAGCAAACAGTTCAGTAATCTTAAAAATAAACCAAATAAAGCAACTTATACATGCACTATTCGCCTAAAAATATATGTACACAGCCTGCTTTAGGGAAGGGTAACATGGGCAACAGCCCCGGGGCCTCCACAAAAGAGGGACCCCCACAACAGACTTCAGAAAAAAAAAAGTTCAAATTCAGGCTAATTAACAGAAATCAATAGAAAATAATTTGGGGCTAAGGTGCCTCCACTTTTTTGTTGCCACTAGGCATCCAGATCACTAAATCTGACCCTGTATGTACACAACATGCTTCGATATCATTTCATTAAACAATGTTACATTCATTTTTATTAAATAATTTACAATTTTTAAAACAAAAGGCAAAACGATTGAAAAACTTGAAAGGTAACTAAATATGAAAGTAAAAATGATAGAAATATTATGTGTACTTTGTTTGAATGCACTTCTGATGAAGCTACTGATCTTGCTTCTGGTGAAATTTATGCTGACTCAAAAATGGTTGTAAGTGTGTTGTACAAGGAACACATTACACAAACTTCTCACTAACACCTGAAGACCGGGTCGTAGCAATATACGTCGTAGCAACATACGCCGCTGCTGCGGCTGGGCCTGGCTTTAGGCCGACAACCGGCGGGCCATTACCAGCTGGAGAATCACCCGAGTAAAGAAGACACTACTCCGACACTACTCCTTTCATGTAGCCCTACCGCTTTTGAATTATCATTATTAGAAATTATTTTTATCAACATATTAATTGCATTTTCAAGATTACTTTAATCAATTATATGTCACGTTAGTTCACTGCTTTTTCCCCATCCCAAAAGAGCTGTATATACATTTAGCCCATCGTGCCGAAAGAACTTTTCACTTCGAAAATATTCCGAAGTTATGCGGAATCCACCAATCCACGGAAGGGTCGCGTGATGGACCCTGAGTGCAAAGGAGGGCTTTAGTCAGGGGTAGGGCTTATATAGTCTATTACTTATGTATCCAATCCAATTATGATAACAATATTTATGTACGTAGATCAAATCAAAAACATCTCTATTATCGTAATCTTTTTATTAACAATAAAATTAATCGTGTGCGATACATATTTGAGTTTCCTGATTAACTCTCAATCCTTCTTCGAAGAGATTTCCGTATCCATTTTCCAGCTTTCCTCTAGACCACACATTCACCTCGTTTTGGCATCGTTAATACATCATTATAAATATTAACACGATTGGTTTCTGTGTTACGGTAGAGAAAATGAATATTCGAATTTATTGGTCTCCTGCCACGAGCAGAATCCTGTAGCTGTCTGATACACGTATCCCAAACAATCAAATACATATACAGATATACGATAAAAAGCACTTGCCTCCTGGTTTAATATTTAATTGCAGAATGCACCGCTCTTACCAATTTATAATCGAGAAATATGTAAGAAGAAAAATTTATGGAATATATGTAACAATAAATAAATTTTTATTTACAGATAAACATTGTTTCCCCTATCTATTATGTTTTGGGCTTCCAAAAAAAACTTAAGCTGACGTTTGAATTATGACTAGAAATGTCGAATTCAACAACGCAATACATTCAAGCGTATGCCATTGAACTGGTCTTTCGTTTATTATTAGCAAGATAGTTTGATTGTTAAATTTTGTAAACTGTTTACATTTATAGAAATAAAAAAAAACCGTCGTCTAAATCTCAATCCAAATCCTCGTACACGATCCGTCGTGTCACTCGTGGCATATAAAAAAAAAAAGATTCCGTTGAAATATTTTAGCTTATTAATACATACCATAGACAGTATTTACAATATACTAAGTATTTAATTACTCCAATTGTTCTTAAGTTTTGGTACAATCGTAATTACAAATACAAAAAAATAGAACAAATGAACATTTTCAAAAGCCTTAACGTTAACGTTAGAAATTATTCAAATGCTGAAAACGCTGCGTAACATCGTGAACATATTATCAATAATTTATAAGAATTCAAGTACAAAACACTCGTCAGTTACTTGATTAATTCTTTTATATTAAAACATTTTATCTACTTAAATCTTATTTGGCAGTAGTATCTCTTTAATTACCAAACTGATGTAAGTATCTATCAGTTTTAGCTACCTCTCTTATTACATAGGTAGTAATAAACCATTTTATATAACAAATTACAACATACTATGGTCTTTTCTTTTCAGAATAACTGATTCCAAAGTACATACAATTTTTATTCATTTTTAAGAATATACACAGATTAACATATCAAATTTGTTAAAGAAAGATCTACCTATAACCTAATCTGATGTGTCTTAAACATGGGGAAGTGTGGTGACAATTTACAAGGATCGCAATTTATGCTCTGAATTCTTCGGGAATTTAACTATAATTAAAGCTCGAATTTAGTTAATAAGAAATATTTTGTATCTAAAATACACAAATAAAATTCATTGACTTATATGTCATTGGCATTTGCAATTTGGCACGTAGATATTCGGATATAAATTGGCATAACATTTGGAAATCCAAAATTCCTTCAATTCTATAAATTATATACTACCAAGAAGTGACAAAATAATTTAAAAATTACATAAGTTCCAAGTATACAATCCAGCACATTATGAATAACAAACTTAAGTCGTTAACATAGACATAGTTATATACATCAATCATAGTATATTAAAAATGTAGGACACAAAATATGATGCTTACGCACAAAAAGTAACCGCTTAATACATACGGAGACTGCTCAGGCGCAAGCGACACGCCGAGCCAGACGCACTCCATACTCCACACTCCTCGATGTACTTAAACGATAGTAGATTAAAGATAATATTGTCTGGGCAAAATCTCACTCCACGAACACTCGTCAATCGCGAGTCGTATATACTAAGTATGTGTATATAAATTTTGATAAAGTTAATTCGTATTTGAATATTCCGTAATATAATTATTTCATCGTAAAAACACTTCATTTGTCCTCATTCATTCGCCGTTCACAGCATTGGTTTTGGGGTATGCCTTGCACTGTCTGCACAGTGTGTAACACCCACCGACGCGTGCGTGGTATCGACGAGTGCGTGACGACGATCGACGCGTGCGTGATGCCCATCGTCGCGTGCGTGACGCCCATCGTCGCGTGTATGATGTCTTTCGACGCTTGCGTGACGCCCGTCGACGCTTCAGTTTGCGACGGACAGCGTACTGCGTGTCAGTACACGGCAGACACGCGAGGGATGTTTAAGGGCGAAAACACACGGGGGCGTTGCGACGCGCGCGATGCCGAAGAGGCGCGCCGTTAAATAATGCTCTCGCGATTCCGCTCGTTATCCTCTTGGGAGCTCAAGGAGCTGCCGCCGCAAATTTGCAATTCTATTTCTTGTAACCTGCCACCAAATAAATACGATTATTAAATCTATAGATATTATAGCTTAATAAAAAATGTGATAATAAATAGAGCTCATAACATATCCAAATTAGGTAAAAAATTAAATCCTTTCAACCGTTCAATCCAATAGCGATTCAATAAAATATATTTTATATCTGAAATCTAAATCGTGAGATATCTCATTTTTAGCAGTTAGCTCATAGCATTAAAAGTGTAATTTTATCATTATCTTATCAAAGTTATATCGCGAATTTTGCTTTCCTTTATTCGTTCTTGTGAACCCCTATGTAAAATGTGTCTTATAATAATAAATGACCATCACATTATTAACACTTTATCCAAGTTGTTGTAAACAATGTACCAGTAGTAATGTACCTATCTATCTAGATGTACGCATTTAATTTCATAAAATAGTCAATACATAATAACTGTATTATTTTATATTCCAAAAATTTTCTCTTTCACTCCTTGAAAAATCAAAATGTCATGTAAGCCAAATTTCATTACATTGAAACTATTTAATTTGAAAAAAAAAATATAATAAGAAAACTCTTTATCATCTTCACTACATAGTGTAAAGCAAAGTCGTCCCGCTGTCTGTCTGTCCCTATGTATGCTTAGATATTTAAAACTACGCAAAAAATCTTGTTGCGGTTTTTTTACTAAATAAAGTGATTCAAGTGGAAGATTTATATGTATAATGCATTGCACCCATGCGCAGCCGGGGCGGGTCGCTAGTTCATTTATATTCTTAAAATGAAATATAATTACACTCCAGTGCACGGAAAATACGCATGAGTGCGTAGATGTATGAAGTAAAAAAGAAATGGTTATATGTGTACACAAACCTCTGATCGACCTCCCACTGCTGTTGGCTCAGCTTGGCGGACATCGCGGCGTTCTCCGTCTCCACCGTGTAGAGTCTCTCGCGCAGCCTCTTGATCTCGCATTCGAGGACTTCGTGCGAGTCGAGAAGCACGCGCGGCGCTGTGCTGCCGGCCGCGACGCTGCCGCCGCCCGCTGCGCTGCTCCTGGCGCTCGATGCGCACGACGCAACCGGCGACGCTACCCGCAACGGGCTCACCGACGAACTGTCAACAGGCGAATCACCGTAGAACGTGGACCACTGTGGAGGGCTTCAAGCCCGCGGGCTCTGGCTGGCCCACCGGTTCTGCGTTCGATGAAGCTTTAGCAGTCGGGACTGAAAGCGTCACTTTGGTTTCTTCTGTGATTTTTCAGACGACACGCGCACTAAGGAAGCCCAGTCGCGGGATTCAAATGTGTAATCACAAGCATGAACAACACCCAATCACACTCGAAACAACTATTCGAAAACTCATCATTTTGTAGATTACGTTTCCTGTATTTTCTCTCTATGTTTTTCCCTGTGTACAATAAAGTATATTCTATTCTATTGATTTTGTTAACAACGTATTCGTCTTACGCTAAACAGAATTGGATAAACAAGAAACTTGTGATTATACAAAAATTATTTACTGTTGTTGAAAATTATGTTCATTAAATAGTTTGATAAATTTAATTTAAAGGTATCTCTAATACCTATAAAGCTGGTCCCGGTAAGACGGTGGGTGAGAAGACTGTAAAGGTGGAGGAATTGGATTGGGTGGTAGGTGCATATCCTCAATCGGGATACGTCCACTAGTTTCTACCAATCCCGGCGTTGATTGGCAGCGTCCCATTGCAACTAAAAAAATGCAACAACACCATTAATATTTAGATATATTAAAACTAACAAGTCGTAGAAGAATTTATCTGAATAAAATTAAAGGAACCCGCCGTTTAGGCTTACGTCAGCGGACGTCTCGTTAGCGGAACGAAAGTGACGAACCTTTTTCGAGTGGGGCCTTCTTGTATTTCTCAAGTCTCTTGACGGCGATGGCCTCGAGCCGGACCCTGGCGGCGGGGTACTCTTTGAGGACATCCCACATGTCCTTCTTGCTGAGCACGAACAGGTCCGAGTAGCCCACGGAACGCACCGACGCTGTCCGCCGGTTGCCTGTCGACGTGTCATCCACACACTCCGTGCCAACTGGTGTCCGGCCCAAACGTCTTATGCATTGCTCCGACTTCACAGTTCCCCGAGTCAACAATTAACCACCCGTACGGGTGAACATTAAATTCATCGGACATATTGAAATGTGAAGTTGGAACAATACACGAGTGACGTTCTAGTAAGTGCCGAATACACCGTGAGAATCAATAGGTGGAGGTGAGCTTCCTTAAATGAAACATTCAATAAGCTTAATAAGAAGAAAATGATATGAAATTCTTATAGAAATAAGGTAAGGAAATAAACGAAGATTAAGATTTCATAGAAATAGTCAGTCAAATTTAAAGAAACTAAAATAAGCCACTTCTATCAATTTTTTCAGTAGGTGCTCAGTAACAAGGACAAAGCGTTCCAAGTAGAAAAATTATGTAACAACTTAACTAATCTTTAAAAAGGTACTAAGCATGTCTACACGTTTCAGCGCCTATTTCCGGCGGCATCGATTTAACTTAAATAATTATTACCTTAATTAATGTAAATCTAAAGACCTTAAATATGAATATGTAGCTTAAACATGTAACATATTATTGGGATTTCATGCACCAAGAGGTCACGCCAAATATATGAAGTAATTGGGGAGGATGCAAAGCGATCGGGGACACTGCCTTCAATACAACCAAAGGAGATGAAACATTAATGCAAATAAAACATGACGCTTAAAGCTACTCCACTAATTCTCAAAAAAGTCATACATACCAAAATAGAAATAAATAAAGAAAAAAAAATATCGGCTTACTATACATTTGAATAAAGTCATTAAAATACAAACACTGCGACGATATCTCAAGAAGCATGAACAGGATACTACGTAGAAATGCAAAGAAACAAACAATAAATCCAAAATGCGTACAGCTCTCGTAAAGAAAATGAAAAATGTGGAAGCGTTCCCTATGTTAATCCATTTCGAGACGTGCTAGCGTCGATCCTTTGCCGCCTCGCTGCGGTCATAGAGAGTAGCGAGGCGGACGGAAAGACGCTAACGAACGTCCGAGAATGATGTCCCAGAACCTGTTGGTGGCGTCGCGGCCGCTCCCTCGACCTGACTGCAGCGTCTCCTCGAAACGTTTGCGTTTGCTTTTTAATACTTTCAGAGAAACAAAAATATAGTAATAATGGCGTGGCGTCTCGGGCCGTGGCGATATTTACCAAGTTGTTTACCTGCCGTGCCCATGTTCAGAATGGATATTTCGCCAAAATAAGAACCCGCTTTTAGTGTTGCCAACACCGTCTTCCCGTTGTCCCCTACTACCTGAAGCTTGCCTCGATTCACTATGTACATTTCCTTCCCGACTTCGCCTAAGGACAAAATTTATTGGCTCTTATAAATTATGAACTATTTGACTATGTATTCTAAGAAATTAACCTTGATAGTAATATTAAAAATCAAAGCATCCATTATAAGTTATCAAAGAGATATTTATTAAGAAATCAATATTAAAAAAAATTGTATCGTAACTATTATAATAAGGTTAAATTAGAAGTTAAATAATTCTATGTTTATATATACTTTTATAAAAATAAATAAATATTTACCTTTCCTGCAAATATAATCGCCTGGTGAAAATAGCACGGGCCGCAGTCTAAGGACAAGCTCGCATAGAAAACCCGCCTCTGTGTTCTGGAAAATCTCCACCCTGCAAAAATAACATTTTAAACGTTCGTAAAAGTAAAATACTTCGCGTACGATACAAAACCTTTAGATCTATATAATACACATCCATGTAACCTACATTGTAATTTATAACCAAAATCTCAAACAAAAGATTGAGACCCTGCGATGGCATTTTGTTCAAATTGACATTCTTCGAGCTACTTTTGAAGGTGTGACGTCAATAGTATATAGTAATATCGTGTTTTTTTATACTGTTTTTACATCCAATGCTCCACATTCTTGTGAAACGTGTTGTTAAGGTTTAAAATGAGGCCACGGGTAACACATCTATAAATAAACTCGCGCACTTAGCTCTGTTTACGCTGCGTTTGCCTATCAAGAAGGAGGGGAGGGATATAAAAGTTAAATGATGTTTTTAAACTATGCCGCTCTCGGTGGAGAATCGATTCATGGACTAGCAAATAGAAAAATATAGTGGACAAATAAAGAGACCAGTTCAGATATGAAAGTTATTACAAAGAAAAGAATGTTTTTGAAACTGAAAATTTATGAATTCCCTCGTTATTTTTTCCACATGAACACGTAACTCTGGCGAAAAATAAAAGCTCGGAGGGGTCACGCCATGAGAAGACAAAAAAAATTACGGATCGCATAAACGAACACTTTTGCATAATTCATGGACGTAAAAAGCGAATGTTTCTGTTTTTAATTATACAACACGGGATATTAAGCTTGAACTGCCACTCCTACGCTGCATTAATGAGGATTGTGCTTCAGCTCACGGCGTCTAGTTGCTACCTACACAAATGTTTTATAAGGGGATAAAGTTTTCAATTCGGAGCACTGCGCGCTTTACGGAATACATACGGAAAAAATATATATGTAACGACTCAAAAAGTGAGCTCTCTGCGCGATTTATTAAAATTGTTCCCTTGTTTCCGGAGAACAGATCACTTGTTCTGAAAGATCAAAGCCACTTGCGTATAAATTTGAGCTGCTCGTTTTTAAATTAATCTTTTGTAGCATTAATTTTCCCAGACTTTTGCTTGATGGGGAATGTTATGATTGCTATAAAGGCATAAAAATGCGTTGAACGTCAGTGAAAAGAATTAATCGCGGTATTTATAACAAACATTAGACATTCTTCCAACTCGGAATCATTATTATATGCATTTTTACTCGGTTCTAAGTATAGTATTCTTTTATAGGCTCTTAATATTATGTGAATTGATTTTACTTGTGTGACGCCCACCCCCGTGTTGGATGCCACTCGAAGTTGTTGATAGCTATGTCTATCTGGGACAAATGGTCCAACAAGGCAAATCCAACTTCGAGAAGGAGGTCAATCGACGTATCCAGCTGGGCTGGGCTGCGTTCGGGAAATTGCGCAGCGTCTTTACGTCCAAAATACCACAGTCCTTAAAGACGAAAGTCTTTAACCAGTGCGTGCTACCAGCGATGACCTACGGTGCCGAGACGTGGTCTCTCACTATGGGCCTCATAAGGAAGCTCGCGGTCGTACAGCGCGCTATGGAAAGGGTAATGCTTGGGGTTTCTCTACGACATAGCAGAGTTACCGACATAGCAGGCGAGTCAGCAGGCTGAAGTGGTAGTGGGCAGGGCACATAGGTCGAAGAACCGATGGCCGTTGGGGCAAAAAGGTTCTCGAGTGGAGACCACGTGACGGCAAACGCAGCGTAGGAAGGCCTCCCACAAAGTGGACGGACGACCTAGCGAAGATCGCAGGGACGCGTTGGATGCAGGCCGCTAACGACCGGCCGAAGTGGAAGTCAATGGGGGAGGCCTATGTTCAGCAGTGGACGTCCTACGGCTGATATGATGATGATTTTACTATAACTAATAGCTCGATAGAGTCGCTGGGGTTAACACGTCAAATAATAAAGTTAACAACAATAGTGCATACTGAAAGTAAATATCTCAATCAATTCAAATCATCTAATCAATTAAATAACTAAACTATTTTCTGTATTCAAAACTTGCAGACAGAATATTTTAACGAAATTTGGTACACGGGAAGTAATCTATTTTCTAAGTTTTTATTTTAATGGTATGAAAGATGGGTTTAATGAACATGTACAAATCGAAACATAATATCATAAATAGCCAAAAAGTATAGCTATTTGCTATTATTTTAATTTGGTGGAAGTCTACATATTTCAAGTTAAAGTCAAATTGTTTTAAGATGATAGTAATAATGAATTAATATTTTAATATTAAATTACGTTGATTAGCGACAAAAATAAACCTTTTATTTTTTATGTGAAAAGTTGACAAGCGAGCAGGTAGGGCTGGGAGCAGGTTTTTTCACCTGATGTTAAATCAATACCGCCGCCTACGGAAAACTACAACCCGACGGTTTGCAGATGCGTTGACAACCTTTAAAAAAGTGGGCCTCGGTTACTCGCCAGACGAAATAGATAAGTTTTATAAGTACCTCCACTTCACTTCTTTTAAATGTAATCTACGTTATAAAGGTTTATTTGACTAGTATTGACGGGACCTAACTCTCAGTTGTTACCGCGTCGTTCTGTTTGCAATAAAATAGTTATAGTATAATAAATTGTATCAGACACTTAATACTACGTAAAGCTAGCTTTAACTCGAATTCAAATTTCCGTTTCATCAGATCAGCGGTTGCGGCATGAAAACGAAATAAACATAATTATAATAGGTGGAAATTTTCGCATTTATGAGTTCAAAATGTTATAAAACTATAAGAACGATATCTATTGTAATGCATAAAATTATGAGTGGGTGAAGACATGGGATAAATTCTAAAATAAAAACAATCTGTAAATAGATACATTACATACTGATAATATTAACAGAGTGCGAATATTTTAATGAAATGCAACTATTTAATAATTCTTTCATTTTAAAGGTAGGTACGTTATTTCTAATGCACATGCCATACATTATAACTATATATTATTGTCAACTAAATCAAATATGTCGTGATTATTCACATCTTGCACGGCATGCGCTAAGCGAATAGTTAATTACTACCACTTGTCCCACAAATTTTTCACAAATATAAAAAGCATATTTCTATCATCCAAGTTACAATTAAGATCCACATAATAACCATTTACGATTGAGATTGAAATTCAGAATTGCATCTAGTCGAAGCTGGTGATGGGTTGGCGGCTAATACTCAATATCAACTTTAATGGATAACTAATACCGTCTAAACTATTACTAAAGTTTTAAATTTTGTCATAATTTAACGTATCACGTAACCTGAGTCCGTTTTAAACTTTTTGCTCAACATAGCTTTATTCAACAAGTAATAAAAGGTAAGCTTTATTCTCAAAGATAATTGTAAAATAACACGTTGAAAACGTAATAAAGAAACATAAACACTTGTAAAGAAGGAATATCGCAAAAAGAAAACCTCTTCAACGTGTCAAGATGGACGTTGATGGCAATTTCCGCTTTGAGTTTGTCTGGGAGGCAGGAGACAGCCTTTTCCTCGTCGGAGCACTTCTGAGTGAGCCAAAGGTAATCAAACCATTTTATCACTTTAACTTGCAGATGCGTTGGCACTCTCCTCATGCGCATGTAAGTTTTCACGCCATCCAGTTTAGCTGCAACAATGTAACGCATGTTATCGAAAACATATATTTTTATTTAATATTCTTCAATTAGGTATATTCAAAATCTAAGAACGCAAAAGCCGGACTTAATGCCTTAAGGCATTCTCTAACGACCAACTTCTGTTGTGGTGATATAGGCAGGTATAATAACATAGAAAACTTAGAAACAAATATAATAAGTAATTAATATCTTAGATAATATAATATCATAAACATATATTAGAACGCATATACATTCATACATATGAACGTTAGTTTTTGATATTTGCTTCAATCAGAAGTTTATATATGTAAATAAACATCTGATTGAAGCAAATATCAAAAAATCATAAATAAAAAATACAGTTGCTTGAATTTTCTATACAAGTACTATTAACTATCCAGAATTCTATTTATCAGAGCCAAGCAACCCTCTCAGAAGTATGCTTGCTAAGGCACTTATTATAAGGTACTTGTTAAAACTTAAGTACGTCGAAAAATAATAAGTATCTTCAAGAATAGTACAATAGGTAAAATACTTCCCTTAATATGAAAGATAATAACGGTCTATAAGAGTATCATCATTAAAACAATTAGATTTTTTTATAAAGTCAAAGTTTAAACATTACTAATGTCTACGCTGCTGAAAAAATCTCGCTGTAATTAAATAAAATATATTCACTGGTAAAAAGTAGTTTTATATTAAAGTAGTTTTAAAAAGCTACTGTTATTTTAGTTTCATCCTTTCTTTTAGCATACCGGTTCTGTTAATTACTGATAGTTATGATTGGCCATGTTAACAAAAACTTATGAGAAAATGTGATTATAATATATTGAATGAAAACGTATAATAATATATCTCATCAAATTACGATGGCTCAGTACTATATAAATCACTTCTAATTTCTCGCAATATATTAATTTTAAAATTTATTTTCAAGTGTTCCCTGAAGTATCTCCGGAGCCCAAGATCCAATAACAATGAAATTAGAACGGGACCATATGGGAGCTAAACCAAACCCAATAAAAAAATAATTTTGAAATCGGTTCATAAATGAGATTGTTCTGAGATAAAAAACATAAAAAAATTCAAACGGATTGAGAACCTCCTCCTTTTTGAAGTCGGTTAAAAACTGAAAGTACTCGAGTAGAATATCGTTAAACTGGAGTTCGAGTGACAGTTGAAGTAAAAATTTTAACAACTGCCGAATTTTCTTCTTGCCGGCATTTCGAAGTCGTAAGCGTTCAAACTTACAAAGGGTTTTGTGGTGCATCGTTATCGGAAAGATTTAAATAATAAATACACAACAGTACACGCACAATTTTGAAAAAAACTTATTACTTATATGATATGAAAAATAGAGTTTAACGAGCTACATTTTAACCATATGAATAGCGCTTGCTTTTCTTTGATTTTGATTTCTTCAAAACAATAGTTGTTCCTGTGATTTTGTATACGACGCTATACCGGGCGTGGTGACGTTTGAATTCTCATGTTAAGTAAATCTTGCTTAAACGCATATGTCGTCGCACATAAATTAATTCTAGTTTAAGCGCCTTCTGTCAAGTAAGCTGCGCTGAATATTCTATACATTTATAGCACAAATTTAACAATTAAGTACAAAGCACGTTCCACATGATGTATTTACATGTAGTTTAATATGAGGCTACATCATGAATGTAAGTTAAAAAAAAAGTAAAGTATCAGCCTATACTTCACATATCTTCGAATTTCTTTTATTATTATTTGGAAAATATGCAGGTTTCCTCACGATGTTTTCCTTCACCGCTGGGCACGTGATAATTCAGCACAAAAAAATGACAATTCCATTGGAACCTGGGATCGAACTCAGGTTGCTTAAGTATATTAAATTAAAGGCGAGCGCCCGGTCATTAAGCTATCGCTCAGATATCATGAATGAGTCATGGAATATTATAAGTAATTTACCTTCAGGAAACGAAAATTTAAGAGTGGTAAGTCCACGCAACAGTTTACCGTTGCACGTATGGGCAGGTCCGTCGGAGGAAGTACCACGACATTACAGTACACCGGCGAGAAGTGGAAGTGGTATACTTCTGTGTTGCGTCTGGTGAGTGAGATAGCTGGGGGCCACTTTATTAAAGGATGGCAACGTATCTGTAACCTTACGGGTGTTGCATTGTCCATGGGCGGCGGATATCACATAATATCAGGTGAACCGGCAACTCGCTGGCCACTTTCTCACATAAAACAAAATAAAAAATGTAGCCGATTCAAAATAAAAATATTATGAGTTTAAAAAGTATCCCAGCCAAATCATTCTGTATAACCAATACCAGTGCTACGCACGTAGAACCTACGTAGAAAAAATAATATTCAATTTTATTTTATAAATTTACCTAGTTTTGTATGAGAAAACAAACTGAAATTCAAGTAAATTGCAATTAAGTGCCGAAACCAAGACCTTGGCAACTGTGTCACAGACTCATCAGAGTTTTTGTTACGGTAAACAAGTATTACTTCTTACGTGCGTACATATATACGTTTTTCTTAATTCAATTAGTGAACAAAACAGTAGTTTTACAACACAAAAAGGTTATTCTTTAAGCGCTCTAGTGAAATATAAACACTAAAATAAAACGATGTCGTACATTTCCTACAATTAATTAAATACGGTGGTTATCAATGAGCTACGTCGCTTTTGAACAAACATCGTGCGCGTTAATTAAGCCTGAAAAAGTCGACAATGCACAACCCAGCGCTCTTTCCGTACTGTTGTGAATTAAAAACAAGATTTACAGCTATTTTATGCTGATTTACAACCATTATAAGTTTTTCAACATCTGCATTGTTAGTGGCTGATTACCGTCAACTTTGTTACTATCTATAGATATTGAGAAAAGGTCATACATGGTCATTTTACATACATACATATGAGTACCCCGGGATTTGTTTTAGCTTACAGAATTACTGTCTATGGTTACAGTACAATATAAACTTTAAATTCGGTTGATATGCAATTGAATCGTTAATGGCCTTAAATTTAATGCTACATTATGTTATATTGCTATATTAGTTGATCAAGAATTAAATATGGGATATATAGAAAAAATAAAAAAAACTTGCAGTAAAGTATCATGTACCTAGTAGGGTTATAAGTTCTGTCACATTATGAACACTTTTAAATTCAAGCGTAGAAGATACAAAAAGAAAGGTCAGCCTCGTAACTTTAGCAGTAATAAAAACAGCTCATCGAGCAAACAGCCCGATTAACTATTGGGCGACACATGAATATGACTTCATCCCACACGAAAACTGGTCCTCCTACGGTCCCAAATAAAATCTGTTGGATTATAAAATATGGCAACACCTAGAAGAGGCGTACTCAAAGCCTCATCCTGGTTTGGTAACTCCAGGCATCCCTGATCAAAGCATCCGCCGATATTAATTTTGACATCGTTCGTGTTGTTATAGACAACTGGCGCGCAGGTTGAAGGCTTGAATTCAAAATCGCGGGGCTCATTTTGAATATGCCTAGTAATATGATAAGAATCGTAAAGTTTTAGTTAGTCCCTTTTGGTATATAAATGGTTACTGTAAAAACAAACATGTGTCAACTGTTTCACAATAAACATGTGACAGAACTTTGACGTATAGGTATGTGATCAGACTATTACATGAGAACGCAGGAACTACCATGAGAGTCCCATTCAGTTTTGGCTAAGGTTTGGGCACAACTTGAGTTTACAATATCGACATTGTCCTTTGACAAAGTGTTCGTAAACAAATATATATCTTCCATAAAATGATCTAAGTGTATCTATGTTTATACTGGCAAAAATCTTGTTTATACAAAATTGGTGATTTCTTATAATCTTAAATATACGAGTATGGGTATATATTATCTTTTGATTTGCACTTGCCCGTGTTCTGTCTTTTTGTTTATGAAAAATATATTCTTCGCTTTTATTAGGACAACTCACTGTAAAAACTTGATCGTAGTATTTTTACTTGACTTCCTCGTGATACGCGCGTAAATCATTTAAGCTTATTTCTTTGATATTTCTATCAATATAATAATAAAAGAGTAGGCTAATAGTACTCCAAGGTATTGGTTACATTTAAGGAAAAGCAGCGCCGACGAAAAACGACTACTCGCATCTGGCAGCCCTGTGTTATTATTGCAGACATTTGGAGTAATTTAATTTCACTACGAGGCGAGTGCCACCGCCAGCCCGCACGAAGCACCCAGTAAGAGCCTACCGGAAATAAGCCACGTGTAACGCGCCGCGTAAGTTCCACTTTTTATGTTCATATTCTTTTATTAAAACTTTGGTCGATGATTTATTTCTGAACGTCTCTAGTGCAACACCTTAAATTTTTTATAAAATGTGAATTGTTGAATAGTTTATATATAGAAAATGATAACTAAACAAATAACAGGCAACAAGCACTGAATTGCAGCCGTCTGCATAATGAAATTGAATAGCTAATTCTACACGATACCACCAACTTTAAACAAAGTTAATTCACTAATGCACTGTTTTTACGCTACCCTGAAAATCTATTTTAGTTTTAATTTGTTTGAATATGTATGTCGCATAAAGCTTAGGTACAAAAAAGACATGAGGGTTTGCTTCTACCAAGAAATGCATGCACCTTCGCCCTACGGCTATAGACTAAACAGAGTGGAATCGTAACCGGGGGACATAATATAAAATTCTATGTCTGACAACGTGACATTGTACGTACAAAGCACTAGTGACTGCTTTGATTACGAAGCTACGACAACACAACTCGCCCAACAATTTGAATATAAACTAGGTGGTTACTGCTAGAGCGACTGATCCACGCCGTGTTTACAGTTCGCCTGTCTCCGCTGACAATTTCTCTTGGCCATACGTTCAATGCACGTCATAGTTACCCAGCGTTCGATTCAGCATTGATTAACATAACAGATGACGTCACGCTGATCTGTTTAGTGTGCGTACGGCACTATTTCTCATAATTGCTTAAAAAAACTTTTACTTACAGCTGTACACTATATATTATTGCACGCAACACGGATAAAATCTAAGGTACTAAAGTTAACTTGAGTAAACCGTCTATTAATTAGGCCAATAAGGACTTATATCTTTATAAACTAATACATTATGATTGTAAAACGTTGTTATTATCGTGTTCATTTCAGAGATTATTTCGTGTTTATTTCAATATAAAATAATAATTATTCTTCCAAATCAAATAGAAGTCATAAGATGTAAAAATAATGAATAAACGAAAAATAAAGAACTTATAATGGTAAGTTATTTGTTGCTAAAACTAATTTTATTCCTGTTCATATCATATTTAAATGGTATAAGGATAATAAAATAAATAATATGTGAAAATATATTTTTTATAACTTGAAAGCAAGGATAATTATTATGGGGAATATTATCATTATCGAGTGACGGCGCTATCTTAGTGTAGAATGATCCCCCCACTAAATAGAGTCAATGTATGCAGCTGGCTCAGGATCGCGCTTCGTGGCAGTCTGACAATCAATCTTATGCCCAGCAGTGGACTTAAACAATTAGAAGTATTCAATTTTTACTTTGGTAGGGCTTTGGTAGGGCTGTGGTAGGTCCAAGCAACAGTCGCACGGATGGGCCACGTCCATCCCGGTAAGTACCACTACCTCACAGAATATCGGCGTGAAGTGGAAGTACTATACTTATTTATTTATTTATTTAAAATTTATTATTTACACCTCAACTTAAGGCTAAACAAAAGGCAAAGTGAATGCTAATAAGCATTCTCTTCCAGTCAACCCTGGGAGTAGAGAAAGTTTGACGCAGGTGCAAAACAAAATACGCGAAATAAATTAAAGAAAAATAAAAAAAAGAAAACAAAAAAAGACATCATCATTAACATATTTATTAAAAGGTGGCAACGCATCTGCAACTCTCCAGAGGTGTTGCAAATGCCAATGGGCCGCTGTTATCAATCATCGGCATTTATCAAGTGAACCGTAAGCTCGTTTTGCACCTCACATAAAGAAATAATATTTAGACCGATAGAAGTTTTAAGGAATGAAATAAAGTTAAATAATATGATTATAAACTTTGTACGTATCATCGTTATAAATTACTTAAAAAGGAACGACAACAAAATAAAAGATAAAATGTTCATTAATTCGGTAGGACTGACATTGTAGTGAATATAAAACAATTTATTTACAGCAATCAGAATAAGCATAACAAAATTCCCACCTTAAGTTTCATTATGTATCTTAATGGACTGATTATAACAGACGTGATTAATGCTATGAATCTAGTATCCATTTAATGGCTCAATGGAAATCGAAATAAACTGTTTTCGCAAATCAAACCTTTGTTAGCATAAATAATTAATGACGGACCGATTGCTGTCGTAGATAGTGAACTTGCCTCTTCGACCAGAGAGCGTGGATTCGTTCCCACTACTAGAACTACAAACATTCTGCGAAGAAAATAGTGTTTTTCCCGTGTCAGTATTAAATATGTCTGACAGTTATCTAAGACCCATAGTAGAAGCGTTGCTTAGTTTAGGACTACATAACGTTGGGTAAAAATGTATCTGAAAATATTTATGATTATTTTAAAATACGTAATGGCTAAGGCAACTGTTCAAATAGCGTTCATTATTCTCAAACTCACATAAAAGGAAATTTTAAATGATAAAGGAGTGTGTATTTAAAGTAATTTGATATCCATTCTTCAAAATTGCTATTAAAATAAAGTTTACTAATTGTACAAGATATAGTTAATCTTTAAATTTTATGTGTATGATATAGTGATGCATTAGTGTGCAAAACCTTAAAGATGTGGTCACATTTAATAAAGATAACGTTTAAATTGTAATTTTTTTGTAGATAAATGAACAAATGTTTTGGCCCTGCGGGACTCTAACCTGCGTCGTCTGATTTCGCGCCAAGACGCTTTCACAACTAAACTAAGCGGCCAATGACCTCACAACACGAAAAATCTTGACATCTTGAGTGCAGATATAAAGCACTAAAAATAAAAATTAATCCGAGAAGAACAGTGTTATTAATTAAACTATATTTATCGCGATTTTTTTAATTTTTATTTCCGGACGCTTGGAACGGTGAAGTGTTATAAAATTAAAAAATAAACGCGTAAATACAAAAAATTATCCAGGAGAACGTTTACTTACTTTTAGAAGGTTGAAATTAAATTAATACCATTTATAAAACGACTCCAAAGGTAAAAGCTTCCTATGTCTATCATTGAGGATTACAATAAATATCTTGCTAACCATCCGAGATTTTCGTAGCATTATTTGTGCTCATAACATATATAGTTATTTTATATACATCCCAGTAAAAGTAATTACATGCTAAAAAAAATTAAATCAGTTGACGCGGTGGTAATTATTTGACCATATTTTATATATGGTTTTGCACAAATCTTCAGTTCGATGTTTTCTTATTGCATTACATCGTCAGGATTTAACTAATTTAGTATGGGACTACTTCTATACCTTCGCTGACCATTTGAAGACGTCCTTTTTCAAATTGGTCAAAAATCCTCTCTTAATATCCGTACAGTACATACTAAGCCCTACTAGAAGAACTTCTACATATCAAAGATGGATAAAAAGTTTAAAAAAAAGTTTTATAATGACTGATTAACGATCATAGACTATAAAGGATAATTTAGAATTTGGTAATTCAAGTGATTTCAAAGAGATTTCACAAAAGTAAATATCAATAAAGTGCTCTCAAGGGTAGCTCAAGGCTTCATTGTACTATCCTATAAATGTCACTGGCCGGTTATTTTTCTTTTCTCTCATATCCGCGCCCGACGGGATGCGTTCGCGTTTTGACACTGTTAACGCTGTCTGTTTGTTGTGGCGATTGTGGCGCGCGGCGAGTGGCGGCGAGTGGGTGAATTATTGTCGAACTGTTAGGCTCGGGTGGCGGGCGCGGCGCTGTGTAGCGCTGCGGATCGATGGCGGACGCGCGGGACGCTCCACTCCCCCTGGGCCGGGGCGCGGCGCCCGACTTTCGCCGAGCTATTTATAGCTTTCAAGCCGCTGACCTATTTCGCTGCAGCGCCACCGAGGAAGGTCACGGATCCAGCCCGCTCACTGCCGTCGAGGCGCCATTGTCTTTCCAGCCGAGCTGCAACGCTAATTAAAGCTGTTGACACACCGACGGTCTTTCGGCGGCCGGCCTTATCCTTCCCAACGGACCGTAAAGCCTAGCATGAAAGCGTATAAATTAACGGTGCGAAAGTACGCTAACAGAGCGCAACCTTGAAAAGTGAAGGATTCCCTTGTTACATGGTAATCACCGTGCGGAATTCGTTTAGTTGAGACCGAGGATTTCAAGGGACGGGACGGTGATGTCACGTAGCGGGACGTGTCAGCACGTGCACCTGCTTAGCAGCGTAATGTGACTACTAAGTCTCGTGCACACTTACGGATTACGTAGATGCCCCTTTAAGCTGTGGTTAATGACTGTTCTCTATTTCCTGTTATTTATAGCGAGTTGCGCATTATAACTTAACGGTATTTTCGTTTGTGATTGTGGTGTTTATGAATCCGTAATCAATAATTAACCAGTGCAATTAAATAAACATCGTTTCTTGTATAAAATACAAAGAATAAGGAAAAATACTCTAATGGGAAATTTAGCTTTGCCTCTAAGAGTGCCACGTGCTCAGTCAGTTAACATTTTCAAAAAACTCGTAAACTATTGGCTTCAGCGTTGGGGGTCATGGGTTCGATTCCGACAGGGAACAAGTATTTGTGTGACCTACAGATAATTGTTCCGGATCTGGGTGTTTGTTTCCCAAGGAGGATTGGCATCAGACAGGCGAAAAAACAGTTAGCCCAAACCCACTTACAGCATGATTCACATATTGTGCCGACCCCATCTAGGATATATTGTACAAATACTCGTAATATAATACTCGTAAGTTATAAGACCGCCCATTGACATAGACTATATCTTATACATTATATAAATTTTATAAAAAATAAAAGCATTTAAGTGTCCTGCCTCGATCATCGCATTTTTTTATGGGAAAAAAGCAGCAGACGAGCAGGAGACTCACCTGAGTAATCACCGCCGCCCATCGATATCTGCAACACCCAAGAGCTTACAAATGCGTTGCCGGCCTTTTAGGAAAGAGTACGCTCTCTTCTTGAAGACGCTTTCTTCATTTATAGCATTTCTCGAGGTTATCGTGTTGTCTTCGAAGATTGTTATATAAAACCCATTATAATACGAAGGAACGTATACATTCATCAACACCGTTATAATTATCAAGGAATCTCAAATAGATTTTTTTCTAAAAAAATATTGGACGTTTTCTTCCCTATTAGCTGAATAAATCAAATATTGTAGCAACACAAGATGATGTGCCAAACCGGTTTACAGCTAACAAAAAATATGTAACTATTGGACTCGATTTAACTTACGGTTACAATAGTTAAAATTTTACAATCAAACCCTTATTATATCAAAAAATACCAAATAATTTAAAGGCAAGCTGTTTATACCTAGATTCAAGTGAGTCACTTTTCTCTTAAAGCACAAGTAATTGAACTATTTACCACTTCCGATTCTGGAAAATGTCGTAGTTGAAAATGTTGAGGAAAAATCTATGTTTTCACCAAAGACAAATTTATTAAATTTTAATTACAAAGATTAAATTATATAGGTAAGGGTTATATTTAAAGAAGTGCCTGAGTTTAAGACAGACTTAACCATAAAACAGTTTATTTATTGGTGTACATTAAAATTACATATAAACGCAACTGAGAGAACGTAACTAATTGAGAGTACTTATTATAACATGCAAAAATACATTAAGGTGTGTGGAAACGACTTCTTCTTGATTCTCCCTCGATCGGTCTGATTATTAAACCATTCCTAATAGCCTCAAACGAGCCTCGGTTAAGTCTACAGGAGCAGTAGAAACTCACCTTGAAATTCCTTCCTTGCGGTGCTAACCGAGGTGACGATGTTGGCCACATGCCCCAACACCGTTGCGAAGAGTAATAGTCCAAATAACAACTGAGCTATTACAAAAACGTACTCCCCTTTACTGCGCGGTCGCGGGAGATCCCCTGTGTGCATAAAATACAATAATTAATTATACGTAATGTTAGACAGCTTGCACGTTCAGAAATCAATGACAACGTCTAGAAGAGTTGAAGAATTTTTGTAAACGCCTACGTACCATTTGATGTAAATTTCAAATAATGGCGTTTAAAGTTTAATATTTCTGTATAACGTGACTTTCGCTTTTGGTACAGCTATAGCTTTACATCTCAATGTATAAAGATAATAAGGTAAATGTATTTAAAATCTATATAAAGTGAATATTTTTTACGATAAAGCTGCTGATTAATATTATAAAAGCGTACAACATACTTAAAACGTCCTTATCAAAGTCACAACATAGTACTACTACATTTAACAAAGGAAAACATAAGAATGTCAAAACTCTTGCGCTACAGTGATAGAATATTGCAAGAAACCAATCGAGTTTTAACAACTCTAATTTGAAACGCTCTGCAATTTAAACCGAGGGAAATTATTCCGAGCGGCTATGGCGCAGTGCTCCGTGGAATTTATTTTGAAATACAGCAGAACACAATTCGAATATCTACTTAAAACGGAATCAAGTCGCAAATTGCATTAATGATACATGAACATTAAATCACTGCTCAAATCTGGATTAACATGAAACACAACGGTGAAAGGGCTTAATGATAAATAGAATTACGTGATACTAAATTACAAAATTCTAATTGCTTTCAAGAGGAACTAGATGGATCCCATAAATATACATATCGTCTTAAATCAGATAATATTAGAAATTCTACGAAACAGATTCTCCGAAAATTGTTAACTAAAATAAAATTCAATTAATTTTTCTGATTATATTGTTCTACACAAAGTCACTGGAGGAGGGAATAAAAACTGAAATAAAACTCAATACACCATAAACAATAATTTTGTAGTACCTTATCTTTATATATCATTGATCTCATATAAAACCGACAATAATTAAGTATTAAAGAACAATGCCCATTTTTGACCTGATTGTGTATAGAAGTGAAATAAATATTAAAATTTAGCTAATATCATTTTATAGTAATTACACTAATAACAATGTTAAAAGAAGGTCGGGAAAAAATATATTTTGATATTTCTTTACGCTTGTTTTACTTCAAGGGTAAACGTATTACTATGTTTTGAACGCACCTTAACAATCCTTTGCATAGGACGTTCCATTTTTCACACTACCTATTTGACTGTATTCAACTTTTCCTGAGCTTTGTACGTGATTTTACGTTTTAGAGAAGTGAGTAAGCACGTAATTAACAGTATTTGCATAAAAATTAACATCAATCGATCAAAGTAGTACAGATTTATTAAAAATAAAATTATTAATTATTAATGCAGTAATTAAAGTTCGCACGGCTGACGTAAATGGATTTTTTTGACATTTGACAGTTCTGCGAGTGACTCATACTCATCGGTATTCGCCAGTAATTGTGAGTATTTATGTTTATTATTTTTAATCTAAAAATGTCAATTATGTCCTAATCAAACTAACAAAGCTCCTATAAATAAATATACCTGTGAGACATAACACAAACAACTGTTCAAAAGATCTATATATCCAAAATATGTATTATAAACTCAATATATGTTTTTTTATTTCAGATTACTGAGGAAGATTACATTTGTAAATCTTGTAATGAACTCTTTATGAGAAGAATAAACCAGGAATTAACAAGCTGTGATGTTGCTCAAGCTTCAGAATTATCTCAACCAGGTCGAATAACACAGTTTTTGATAATCCTCCCGAAAAGCAAAGACAGATAAATGCTGTTATACAAACAAGTTCACAACATCACATATTCATGTTTCTAGATTGTTAATCATTTGCCAGTATAAAACTTGATACTATTACTCTAGATTATTTTTCTTTTGTATTTTAGATGTAAATTATTATATGTGTTATTAATTGACTGATGTAATAATTTTAACCACAAATAAATACATAATTGATTTTTAAAAAAATATATTTTTAAGATGAATAATAATTATTGCTTTATTACTTCTTTTATAGATATCATCATCTGATAGAATATGCCATTCATGGTGGATGAGTTGTAAGAGTGCTGCCACACATATTAGGCATGTTGCTGAAGTTTGTGGTGTTTCTACTACTGAAGATAATTTATTTTTAATGTTTCTGAGATTAAGTTATTAGTGAACTAATACTATTTGCATTAGGTACCAAATAAGGCAAGCCAAATCCTATTATGGCGAACATATTCACTTTCATGGATTATATAGAATAGAAATATGTAGGGACACAGGAGTTTTCTAGGAATAATCTGAGAGGAAGTGGTGACATAACACTAATAAGAGGAAAAATTAAGTCCTGACACATTTAAAGAAAAATATTATGTCTACATTTTAATAGAAAATAATGTGTCTGGCAGAGCTAGTATAATCGAATACTGTTGTAATTGTTTAGTTGGCTGGTGAACCATAGGATGTTGCACTCATGTTATGACTAGTGTGGTACTTCGGATGAACTATCAAGAAAATATTTCTGTTATAGCAGAATTTCTGGATAACATAGTTATAAGACATTTAAGTGAAGATTATGATCATTAATAAAGTAACATAGTGTTATATTTTTTCCCCCGTTTTATTCATCAGGTATTATAATTATCGATTATTATGTATTGTAGTGCAGGCCAATGAAATGTGTAGGGCAGATAAATCAACACTTTTAACTTACGTTTTTTTAGTAAGTACTTATGTGAGCTGTTGAAACAGCAGATAATGCTCTTCACTCAACTTATAGTGACAATAATCGAGTCTAAGCAGTGACGTAAGGGCAGTCGGTTTCTAGGAATTCACAAGTAAAAAAGACGTTTTAGACCTTAGATAGGCTAATGTTAGAATTTTAGAATAAGCTTGAGCGTACATAGTTCGTTCTAGCACATTTATTTCGTTATATTTGTTAACTGCAAATCCTAACCTAAAAAGTAACATTTTTTAATAATTTTTGGACTTCGTAGACCAGCAATCGTAAAAATGACTATATAATATTAATTTACTAACTTAAAGGTAGTCTTTTTGCTATACATTGTAACTATACATACACTTTCATTATCAGGTTTTTAAATGTATGGGAAGTGGGCATTGTTCTTTGTAGAAAAGGGGAACGAAAAGTTTCCCGCCGCTATGGAAATCGAACCAACGTCTTCGGGATTTGCGCCCTGACGCTCTATCCACTAAGCGGCTGATTGCCACACGTAGTACGAATACAAAAAATCACAAAGTGACAAAAGTTTTACATCACATTAAGAGCATTCTTTTATGTGAAAAGTTGTCAAACGAGCAGACGGTTCACCTGATCTTAAGTGAATACCGCCGCCCATGGACATCTGCCACACCCGAGGGTTACAGATGCGTTGACAACCTTTAGAAAATTGGGCTCCGGTTACCTCACTCACCAGACGAAACGCGAAAGTATTTGTCATACTTCCACTTTACGCTGGTCTTAGCTGAGGTCGTGATACTTACCCGGACGGGCCTGCCCTTACGTGCTACAGCCAAGGCTGCTGCGTGGCCTAACCACCGTAATGTTTTTTTTTTTAATCCCTTACTTTAGGATTACATTATCCAGTGTTATAAGGACGTATTACAAACATTAATTTCACGTGGACAAACACCCAGATTCGAAACAATTATCTGTGGGTCACACAAATAGTTATCCCGCGTATGAATCGAACCCACGACCGGCGCCGAAGCCAATACCTTGGCAACTGCGCCACGGAGTCATCATTTATTATATAACAACTTTAAACAATGATGCTTTAGTTAATAAAATGTGGGCTTATACGAGTAATAAAACATGGGCTTCAAAGGTATTTTTTCTAAAAAAAGTAAAAACTAATGAAACCCGGATTATTTTGCACTGGGTTAAGCTGGCACTCAATTCAATGAATTATAAACAGGCAAAACAAACATCACAAAAACCGGCCGAGTGCGAGCCGGGCTCGTGTACGAAGGGTTCCTAACCATTATCTATAAAAACGGTAAAAAAATCATGTCTGCTATGAGGCGAGGTTGTTATGAGGTTATGAGGCAACAGATCATCTGTCAAAATTTGAACTGTTTAACTATCACCGTTCATGAAATACAGACGGACAGACAGACAGACAGCTTAGTCTTAGTAAGGGTCCCGTTTTACCCTTACTGGTTACGAAACCCTAAAAAACTGTGATAAAAACCTAAAAGTAGACAGGCATTAGACATTTTATTCACAAAAATATATTTTTTTTTAAATTCCATTCTAATAAATTAATAATATATTCATGTCACACACATCGTGTAGGTTTTTTTCCCTGCTTCAAATTTAAATGAGTTTCTAACAAAAAAGGCTTACACGGATTTTTCCCGATTGAGTATTACACAAAACATGTGATCAGAATAATTTATAACAGATGTACAAAATGCTGCACTGCTATTTATTTAAATAATACACATAATGTATGGACCTGATTATAAAAATGAATACGACTTGACTATACAGTTTTAAACTAACATAAAATTTTAGAATAAAATTATAATAAATGTAATAGCTCCAAGATATTAAACACCGCTATAAGAAATCGCTTTAAAGTTTCCACGACTGCCGTATTTAACGCAAAAAAGACTGGAAAAGCTAATTAAAAATTTTAAAACACCCAAACAGTTTTAACGAGGGTCTTTTTAAATTTAAAAATTAAACGACCCATAAAAGTCGATGGCACGACTAAAAGATTGTTTAGCTCCGGCAACGCCGTCGAAAACTCATAAACCTATTAAATAGAGGCGAACACAGATGTGAATTTAAGTAACGCGGGTGACCTTTAATGTCCATGACCGATGGCATTTACGAACTTAGCCTGGATATTGACCCCCATTAATGTCTATTACATAATGGCCATTCAAGCATCTATAAATACTAAAACTGTTCACCTCCGTAGTAATACTGATGTTCGATGAAGAATAAACATTGACAAACTTGTGTATAAAAAGACATTTA